AACCACACGGTGGGCAAAACAGTGAGAGAAAGTAACTCTTCTTTAATCGTAATCCCAAAACTGGAGGCCGAGGACATGGACCCGGCGGGGGCTGTTGACAGGATGGTGGAAGGGGCAAATACCGGGGGTTACAATCTTGCTGATGGGTATCTCTTCCGCCCTGCAACTCCTAATAGACAGGCTTTGGCAAATAAACCTTTCGTCGGAAATGCTCCTGCAAACAGGTTGAAGCTCTACTTCGCATCTTCCTCTGAACCTCGTGACAGCAGCCTTAGGCCGCATGGTGGGCGAGCAGGAGTGGCCGCCACGCTAACACTCCTGGGAGCTACTGATCAGCAAATAATGGACCACTGTAGGTGGGCGACGCACCGCACCTATAAGCATTATACTCAGGCCGAAAGGATATCCAGACGTCGGAGCACGGTACAGATGTTGAAGGACGCGGTCAGCGCCGATGGCAGTGACCAGGTACCATTAGCAGACATGGCGGGGGTCTTTTATCGGACCTTAAACTCTGGCTTCAAAGCGCAAAGCGCATTTAAGGGTCCCGATCGTTAACAAGCTTAAACATTTGGAGGCATTGACAGCGACCCGTCATGGAGGCTCAGATTTGGTGTGAGATATGGGTGGAGAACTAGCGATTTCCCCTAGGTTGGTGCAGAACCTCTAGCCGACTTAGGAGTTTTGGAGCGAACAGTCGTTTCACAACCAGTCCTGAACAATGTAGAAGCTGGAGCCCGAAACAACAGAGCGGTGCAAATAGACTACTATTGGCATTGCCTTGGCCGTAGAGGGCGACTGATGATTCAACATCAGTCGCGACTCTGCCAGACGGGGTTCGAGGTTGACTAAGCAACGGTTCTTTGAGTCGGCAAGTGCACTGGTGAGGGCTCGGCAACAGCTTTCCCCACCCACCCACCCCACAAGGGAACACAGGAAGATGGCGCCGGCTCCGGTTTCTACTCTCCAATCGTTTCACACCCAGTCCTGAACAATGTAGAAGCTGGAGCCCGAAACAACAGAGCGGTGCAAATAGACTACTATTTCCTAGTTTGATGCCGAAAAATATATTTTTCTCTAAATTTCTATTTTTCTAGCGACACAACAGTAATTCACTTTTGACTACTTGGTTTTTGGTTGCTTCTTCTTCTAAATACTCCGCTTGGTAGCAATATTTTTGATGAATTTCTGTGGGGAAAAAATGATAGAGCTGGGGGGTGAATCTCCCCCAGATACGCGCCTGATTATGGAATGTGCATGAAAAAAAAATGTGTTTCTCTGTCATTTAATACTTATCAATAAGCCTACATTATCAAAAAGTGTTGAAACTGTGTGATCGCAACCTTACAAATATGACTAAATGTACATTTTTTTTCTTGATTGTTTATAATATATCATTTTCTTGTGTGAATATGAAGTGAATGAATGCATTTAATTAGGTCTAAAGCCAAGTCTGCTTGTAAATTCGCCTACGAGTATTTAGGACTGATAAGTTTGGAAGGAAAGGTGTAGTTCTTTAACAGAATTTTGAACAAAAAATTGAGATTGAGAACACAAATTGAGATTTTACATCAGGAACGTACTGCTGATTTGATATTTAGGTTATGAGTAACAAACATCTGCTAAAAAGTATTTTTTACAAGAATGGCAGAGCCATTTGATGGCCGATGCTGATTGACAATACTCATCACACTTCAAAGTGTTTGAACATCTTTTACTTTCAATTATTGAGAATTCGTTGAAAATTGTATAGCTTTCATGTAGACTGAAATTGAAAGTTTAAGCTTGTCAGTTATGTAGTCATTTGTTTACGCATACACGAATCGTACATTTGCAATAAGGCCTATATATTACACGAATTTTGGGACAAGTATTCAGTGTTTTATTTTAAAATGTAAGAAACAAAGCCTGTTGCGTTCCATGATCCACGAGGCTGTTTTCGAGTTTTATCCCGAAAAAAAATACATTCCTTTTTAAACTGCTAATATTCCTATTTTTAGAATTACAAAAATAATGTATTTTTTGAATGAGACATCGACCAAAAACAAATTGGCCCACGTTTAGTTATTGAATTATTACCTTACGATTTCCAATAATTGGATTTCATTCTCGCGGAGTAGGCTGGTTCCCGCCCCACAATCAGTCTCGACAATGTTGGCCACTGACTGGGAGCCAGTCTGCTGGCAAAGCAGATCTCATGTTCCCAAAACGAAAGCCTTCCTTTTCAGAGCGTTGCCGACGTCCAAAATAAAGATGAATGAGGTTTTTAGTGGGAATGAAAATTGAAGATTTAACAATAGAAAACAAACAAACGAATTTATTGAAGAGCACGGGGAACGCAAATTTAACATGTGTGATCGATGTGAGTACCGATTTTAAAAGTATATCAGTTAAAGATCCACTTGATTTTCAGGTGTTTCTGAGTTGTTGGACATTGTGAATATGTTTAGACTCGATTTCGAACTACGTTCACTTTGTTAAGAAAAAAAATACCCACTTTTAGTGACAGCAAAGGTTCGAAGGCGCCGCAATATCTCAAAATAGAACCAAAATGATCGAATCATGTTAGAAAACTTTGATGGATAATTTTATATCAACACCTATACCACACTACAAAAAAGTCACCGGTGAACAATACATAGTAAATAAATCTTGATATCCGCACAGTTTGACAACCCGAGAGAGTGTACCCTCCCTCTACTTAGAACCTACTCTAAAAGACAACTTTTCCTTCAAAGATTTCTAAATACTTCGGAAATCACCTCACTGATTTGAAAATCTCGTAATCTATAACAAATAATGATCTGGCCTTTACATCCAAAACTAGAGATGTGTTTGTCATGTTAACGAACACAGCTGTTTCGGTAATAGTTTTAGTGGTATCTAGCATCAGTTGATGACGTCATCGTGACGTCATTTTACGTTCTGAATAATATTATAATCAATGCCTACCAACCCACAAAGTTTCATAACAATCGGACATTCCCTCATAAGTGTTCAAAAATACACAATTTGAAGACGTCATCGTACGATGACGTCACAAGTTTTACGAAATTGCGTGTAGATATCTGTGGCCTACTATAACAAAAAAAGACGAATTTTGAATGTAGCATTTTTTTCCCCTGAGTTATGAAGATGAGCTTCACGAAGAAACGCTTGATGATTCAACAGCACATCATCCCCTGATGGTCAAGAATTGGGGGAGGGGGGGGGGGAATCAGTTGAACCCAATCTAGCGCCTTGGTTCAATCGTCGGCAAAAGCTTAATGTTTTTCTTTATTTTGCGCTGGATTTCTAGCGCACGACCTCAATACAGATAGGTGTAGGCGGGGCTAATATGTGGAGTGTCCAATCACACCTTGGTAAATCCGGACGTCATCAAATTATTTGCAGCTTTTCGCCTTTTGCGGACGTGACAGGAACCACAGTTTTTGTGCATTGGTGCCGTGTGTAGAGACACACAACGTGTACGTGTATGGATTATGTACGGTGCCACGTTTCACTATGCAAGTTTCCACGCAACGATCGACCAATAAGAAAACGACATTTAAAGTCAGCTAAGGCTATTAACATAATGAGCACCACCCCCAAAACCCCACCTGGACGATTGAACCAAGGCGCTAGATTGGGTCCAACTGATTTGCATAAAAATAGTTGCCGCGTGAGGTCGCTATTCGCGCTGTATTTTTAATGCACTGCATGCATAGACATTATGACTGCATGCAAAGCGCTAGCGAAGATATTGTTTACCGCGTTACGGCCGGATGAATAACAACTAGCGCCTTGACCAAGGCTAGCATCTTACCGGTCCTTTCAAGTTTTGTCAAGTTTTGTCACGTTCTGCCGCGTTTAGCGGGCGTTTTGTCACGGTTGCTGCGCGTTTTGTCGCGTTTTGCTTCGTTTCTCACGGCATGCTAGGGTGTACGGTAGCCGTTTCGTCGCGTTCAATCACGGCGCGTCCAGTGTGTGACGGTTTACAGGCCCGGTGCGATGCGGCGAGTTGCGTTCTACTACGGTCTGATACGGCGAGCGCGGTCTGGGAGGGAGTATAAAAGCATACAATGATTGCTATTGCTTGGGAGGCTTTCTTTTCATACCGCGGGCATACCGCGGGCATACACTTGCTCCGAAGCTGCCCGGCGTACACGTTTCATCCGTAGAAAGCCTTGACAGAACGCGAAAAACGTGTCAGACTTTAATTAGAACGTGAGGAACGTGAGGGACCCCAGAGGGACCCATCAGAACGTGACAGGCCGGGAGGGAACGTACTGGTATTCGTGGTAGACCGCGGGCCGAACCGTAGTACGCCTTTGAGCCTCCGGGACTCAGCAGCCCCTTTCCTCCCACGGCCCATCACAGATACCGTGATAGACCGTGAGAAAACTTAGCAGGACCTAAAAAAAAAACTTGACTACGGAGAAATTTTTTTCTCTCCAAAATCCCACGGCGCACTACGTTTCGGGCAAACGGGGCTGCCGTGACCGCCGGGAACATAGTGTAAACTTAGTCCAAGGACCCCTTTCCACTTGGCTAGTCAGGCGCATCAATTCTTGGTTACTTCAGCACAATGCTATAGGCCACTGAACCTCTATCGAGAATTTAATCACCATTAAACAGGCTTAAATATTTAAAGCTATTTTTTTGGCGGTCGGTGGTGCCTGTACGACACTAACAAAGAGTCTGCGACTTTGCCGTTGCTTTTTATGCTGCCGTGTCAATGCCACCAGCGCAATTAAAGTTGAATAGCGCTACAGGTTGGGTACGTGGTACGGTTTTGTCGGGGTAGATATATCTTTTGGTTAAGTGGGGCCATTCATACAATTTGGCGAGGTTCAGTCAGTAAGTTTCAGGTTGGTTGGGTTAGTATACTTACTGGCGCAGTGCCTTCTGCATGAACATAAATTTTGGTGAAGTTGGCACATTTAGATTTGGATGGGAAAGCTAAACTTTACCTAACACGGATATCGCCGCGCGCTACTATCGGGGAAAGGGGGAAAATAATGACGGGGAAGATGCTTCTCTTGTCGGTGCTTCTTGTTAGTTCCATCACGGTGGTTCACTCGGGCAAAATACAGACAACTGCCGACTGTACGGTAAGTCACAAAAAACTATTTCTTCCGTATTTTGATTCACTTAGGCCCCCCCCCCCCCAAAAAAAATGTCTCCGGTTTCTGGTATGGAGCTTGCCCCAAAAGTGGTGCGGTGACGCGGCTTTTTTCTTTTTTTTTTACTTTTTTTCCCGTCAAATGTCGGCCGATGACTGCAAATGGTGCTCGACTAAATTAAGTGCAAAATGTTTGGGAGCCCAGAGAGGCCACATACAGCTGATACTCGATCGTAAACCCATCTAAAAACACGTTAAAACTGTGCAGCAGCAGGATTTCAGTCAAACCAGTGAGTTTGGCGGATTTGATACATCATTTTACATTGAAATAAAAAGTTTTAATTTTGCCGACGCGCATGGCTACGGCGACGCGCATACCAGAAACCGGAGACTTTTTTTTGACTTATTACAACTTATCTTTTCTTCATAGAGAAAACGGCGGATGAACATAGAACTACATGTAAATTGACCTTTATTATTCCTCAATTTTAAAGGAAATGAACGACGCTACAAATACGACACAAAATAGCGATACATTTAACATTTAATTCTTCATTGGGCCATGTTAATTTGGGGGTTCTTAAAGTAGCCATGCTTTCTTCTTCGAAAGCTGCATGAAGTAAAATAATTAGTATAAAGTAAAGGGTCTAGACCACCCCACCTTTATAAGCTCAGTCAAATATCTCCTTTGAGATAGGTTGGGTATTGACTTGTGAATTACAACTCATGTATCTGAAAGCTTTATTAATTTTGGAAAAACGAGAGGGCCTAACACTTCTATATTACTTGCAGGAACTTCGTCAAAGTTTTCAGCAGTTTGATTCATAATTATGCACGTTACAGTTTCATTACAAAACGTCGATAATCGACGGGAATCGTTTTCTACAACGAAAGTATTGTTGTAATTAGTTTCGGGGTTTTTTCTATGCTTAAGACACAGGTGTAGGCTAATGCAGGTTGTGTTAAAAAAAGCGGAACCCAAACCCCCCAAAATATATTTCCTAGTTCAGAAAAATTAGCGACAAAAATAACAACTACTTTCATAAACTACTTTTATACAAACAAAATCTGAAACTGCTCAATCCGTTCAAACTATATCGCCATTTAAACGCAACGACTCTTAACCCTAAAGGGGCCGGGTGGAATCCGCCCACCCCCTCAACTTTTTTTCCGCGATAGCCTTAAGAAAAAAATATTCGCGACCCAAGCTGTTCTGACTTTTGACCCTCGAACCTTGCACATCTTTTGAAACCAAAAACATAACATTCGGACGAGGGGTTGCCGCGTAGCAAAAAAATTTCCGGCGCTACGCGCCGTGAAAACTGAATTTCCCCATATACATAGTGTACACAGAGCAGGATCACCATTCGTGCATATGAATAATTAATTAGCCATAATTCCAAAACCCCTTGATCTATAGTCATGACATTTCTTGGGTATGTTCATGAATAATTGTTCTATGCATGTACCGAGTTTCATAATTGTTCGTCACTCGATGACCGAGATCTTGGGGGGGGGCGGAATATGCCCGCCCCCGGCTAAGAGATTGTCAAAATAACCCAGCCCTTTTAGGGTTAAACCTCTCTCGTCCAAAAATGCGATTTCAAGAATCGACGTCACAATTGTCCTCAACCATCACAGCGATAAAACCTCAGTTTGAAAGTTACAAATATTAAATAAAGTCGATCGGTCTTTTCCATCGATTGGTCTTTTCCATCGATCGATCGGTCTTTTCCACCAAAATGTATTTTCCATCGATCGGTCTTCCATCAATTAGTCTTTTCCATTAACTAATCTTTTCCATAGACTGGTCTTTTCCATCGATCGATCGGTCTTTTCCATCAATCTGTATTTTTCATCGATCGGTCTTCCATCCATTAGTCTTTTCCATCAATTAGTCTTTTCCATCGATCGGTCTTTTCCACCGATCGATCGGTCTTTTCCAGCGATTGGTCTTCCATCCATTAGTCTTTTCCATCAATTAGTCTTTTCCATCGATCGGTCTTTTCCACCGATCGATCGGTCTTTTCCATCGATCGGTCTTCCATCAATTAGTGTTTTCCATCAATTAGTCTGTTCCATCGATCGGTCTTTTCCATCGATCGATCGGTATTTTCCATCGATCGGTCTTCCATCAATTAGTGTTTTCCATCAATTAGTCTGTTCCATCGATCGGTCTTTTCCATCGATCGATCGGTCTTTTCCATCGATCGGTCTTCCATCAATTAGTCTTTTCCATCGATCGGTCTTTTCCATCGATCGGTCTTCCATCATTTAGTCTTTTCCATCAAATAGTCTGTTCCATCGATCGGTCTTTTCCACCGATCGATCGGTCTTTTCCATCAATCTGTATTTTCCATCGATCGGTCTTCCATCAATTAGTGTTAATGACTGATGACAAGTACGGTGTACTAAGACGGCGCGGTGAGTGTTGTACAGCAGCGCATTGAGTGCTCAGATCGGCTCAGATTGGGGCGGGGGGGGGGGGGGGGTTCGGATCCACCAATGTACTTTGTCACCATTATCCTTTTCTATATCTCTAACTCTATCGACTTGAATTTATTAACGGTGACCCGACTTGTTATAATTTCATTAATGGCTCAACTCAGGCTCAACTTATCAATGATCAAAGAAGTATCAGACAGAAAGGAATGTGAGCAACAGACACAAATAATCTTCAATTAATCTATGTACAGTTTAATATTTACAATTAATATTTTCAATGATCCGATTCGAACTTATGTTCCAATCACTGTCTTCTAAAGTTGAAGCTCTCAGTTTACCCATATACTTATCTAATTGGCACAGATAATTCTGCAGTTAAGTTATCTTATTCTCTCTCACGCTTTATGGTTAAGCTACAAATCACACAAATATTCTGTAAACTAAGTTCTATTGTCTCTTTATAATGCGTCGTTATCACAGATCTGGTCTCCCAGACTAATCCCCGGCCGCCAAATAACTTTGGATCATTCGAAATACGCAGTGGATGAACCGGTAACCAGTCTAGTCTCCCCCAACTCTCCCTTCCTGGCCGTTGAAGGTTTACTTCGGTCTGATTTAGTAGATTCGAAGTTGAATGATAGAGCTAGGTCTCTGGTTGAAGTCTATGAAGTCTTGTGGAGACCGCTGCTCACTAAATTTGAAATTGACTGATCAGAATGAAGGGCCGGGTTATTTGACCATCTCTCAGCCGGGGGGGGGGGTTCCGCTCCCCTAAGATCTCGGCCATCGAGTGACGAAAATATTTGAAACTCGGTTCATGCATGGAGCAACTCATCATTAACACACCCAAGAAATGTCATGACTATAGGTCAAAGGATTTTGGAATTATGGCTAATTAATGTGTACACGACGTAAATTCAGTTTTCACAGCGCGTAGTCCATATCGGACCACTGCAACCCGTAGTCCAATTTTTATGTTTTTGTATCAAAAGATGCGCAAGGCTCGAGGCTAAAAGTCAGGACAGCTCTGGTCGCGAAAACAATTTCAAGGCTATCCTGGAAAAAGTTGAGGGGGACGGATTCCGCCCCGGCCCTTTCAGGGCTAAGTGAGACCGTAAACGCAACGCGCGGTTAAACGACTCTTATCGCGACGCGCCGCGTGGCTGAACAACACTCTCCGCGCCGCTGAACACCGACTCACCGCTGGGGTGCGTTTTGGCGGTCATAACCAAGAATTGGTTCGGTTGTTTCTCTTTGGGTAATTGGTTTGGGAATTTTAGTACTAAATCATCATGCGTAGTTCTTACCAAATTAATATTGCCAAAGAAATTCTCCAACAAGAAACAACCGAACCAAGTCTTGGTTATGACCGCCAAAACGCACCCCATGTCGCTGAACAACACTCTCCGCGCCGCTGAACACCAGTCACCATGCCGCTGAACAACACTCTCCGCGCCGCTGAGCAAGACTCAGCGCACCGCTGAATAATACAGGCTTCGATGGAAAATACCCATCAATGGAAAAGACTGATCGATCGATTGGGAAAAAAACCGATCGGTTGATGGAAAAGATCGATTGATGGATGGAAAATGCCAATTGATTGACTTAAAAGACCGATCAATGTGTTGATCACATTTAATGTCTCTTTGGCGTTCCATAAGCCCCCCTTTTATTCACAATGGCTGACCGGCCACTTTTCCCACCCCCGAAAAAAAACCCGGTTACAGTAGTTATTTTACTTGATGAGCAAGACTGAGTGGTTCGAGATTTGTATCTTTGGAGTTTCTTCAGAATAGTATTTGGATGCATAAGGGTTAAGTTGAAATCAAGAGTTTGCAAAAGGAGTTGGAATTGTGTACACATTGTACATTGCTTGTGTTCCGATGTGTGGCCAAACGCTTGTAAAATCCTAGACCTACTCCTTTGAAGTGCGCATTCGCACAGTTTTGGTGCTTTGGCTTAAAGTCACATCATTTGCTTTCATGTATTTTGTTCGTTTCTAATAATAACAACACTAAAAATCCAAGGACGAATGTTCAAACCTTTGGAAATTTTCAGCTCGGCGGCAGATATTACACCTTTATGAAGAAAATAGTGTAAACATGCACAGTCTTGCGATAAAGAAGACTCTTATTTCCCCAAAGTAGTCAAATCGCATATTTCTTTATTTTTTTTCTAAATGACAAAAAGCCAGATGGAATAATTTCACCGGCTCTTTAGTACCAGTTCGCTCTTTTATTCAAGTATAAGCTTTCTGATAATAACTCGAAAGGTTACCTTTGAGCAGATTATCTTAAAGATCTGCCTTTAAATCCATGATTTTGTTCCATAGATGTACTTGTTGAAGTACGGCTATGTGCGACCCACCACCGACGGCACTAACGTGAACGAAGAAGAGATAACAGCGGGCATCTACAAATTCCAGAGCATGGCCAATATTCAGGCAACTGGTAAGTTCAACGACTATTACAATCCGTGGGACTTTTTAAGAGCTCAATAAACATTTTGCTAGATATTTTGTATATCGCATATATCTATGTCCCCGAAACAGTTTCCAAAAACGATTCCTTTTGTTTACGTATTATTTAATTACAATTTGACGTTTTATGCCTCCATCAAGTTTTTAGCAACTTTTCTTGGCTGGTCCTAGATGACCAGTGTCCTCTTAATACCTATCCCACTTACTGACTGACTGACTGACTGATTGACTGACTCCCCCTTATGATCGGTTTTTCTTCAGACCAAATTTACATCATTGGCTTTTGCAGTAAATTTTCAGAAATGAACTATTTGAGGGGTTACTATAATAGATCAAATATTGTTACACTGACATGTTTGAAGTTTTGTGTTCGAAAATGCTGAAAAACCAAGAAAAACACAAATGGTGGAGTAGTCTGGTTCCCTGATTCCACTAAAGATCAAATGGATCAATTTATAGATGCCGGAAAATTGTAAGGTAAGGGAACCAATCTACCTGGCCTGCATCCGTTCATAAACATGATTGGAACCAATAGCAAACAAAATTTGGACTGAAAAAATGGTGAATTTGGAGGAGAAGTTGAAAAATAGTTAGGTTTTTCCAACGGTGGTCGGCCGACCACCGTTGGAAATTTATACAAAAATACCATTTTCTTGAAAATGACTTCACACCAGGTGCCATAATTTTACAGGATGCTTTAGACTGTCATTTACCAACATCCTAGTAAGGTTTTTCGTAAAAACTTGGTAGTTCTATTTTTCGATGTTTGCAAATGTTGTATGTTCCCTTTAATTCGGTTGTCACTTCTTCTGTTCGGACATAAGATCTATTCGATTTATAGCGAATGTTTTTTCCTCACTTTATAAAGAGAAAACACAAATGAAGTTCAAGAAAAAGGCTTTGCTGTGAATTTAACTCCAATCCACGGATAATTAGTCACATTTGCCTTCGGTGATTGAAATATCGTTGTTTCTTACTACATGACTAACTTCTCCAAATTTGTGAAAATCCTCAACATGGCTAAGATGTCCAGTTTGACCAGGACACGGCGCAGTTATCAAAACGGATCAATTTTTTTAATAGAGCGTACTCAAAAGCCGTTGTCGTGTTCGTTCAACACAAGAACGGGGTTTAAAATGACCAGAACCAACAACCGAACGGTGTTCGCGAACAGGAATTTTACTCCCCACTTTAATTATATTGGGGAGTAAATGAAAGAACGCCAGGAACAAAGGGGCGGATGTACCACAACTTTGCGTTATATTTTGTACATCAGACAGAAAACGCTCATTAAGTGCATGAGCAGTAATGGACGAAAAACATTCTACGTGAGCATAGGGTGGGCGTGTCTTTGCTATTTTTTTTTATAGTGGGCGTGTCTTTGCTATTTTTTAAAGCTATTTCCAGGATTTCAATTATTTTCATAATATCATAATTTTCCCATCATTTTTTACCCTTTCCTTTCTGCCGTATCTTGAATTATACACGGCCATGCTATGGCGCATGCATTCGAACACTGTTTACGGGTCACTCGATCGAGAGCGAGGTTTCGAATACGCCCAATAAGTCACAAAAGATATGACTAAGTCGTGTGACGTACACAGTCTCTGACGTCTCTGAATGCCTTGCAGGTACAGTTCAGGGGAAGTTCTTTGTTATTTCATGGTTATTTCGGTGTGAATGGACGCGCATAAAAGTGGGGATGCTTTGGTCACGGTCATGCAACCATAATACCCTTGTATCAAACTCCACCTGATCGTGACACATTCAATTTTCGTTGATTTAGGATGGGAATAGCTTTGACTAATGGACGTCATGAGTTGCAGGTATTTCAGAGGAAGTTCTTTGTCATTGAAGGCACGAGGACTTTTCCAAGCGATACAAGGTCACTCTCAGGGTGCACGGTACGCCATAATTTATGAAAACAAAGGTCAGGCAGACGTGTAGTCGTCAGCGTTTTCACAAAGAGACGAATTTGGCAGCAGGGTGTTGAACTGAGGGGGGCTTTAGCCACCCAAGATTTTGTCAACAAAATTCCATACAAAAAAAGCAATAGCAAAATGTAAGAACGGTCGCCCCCTAAATAATTAGTCGTGAGAAGGGTGCATTTGTACACTTTTAGCTAATATAGTGTGCCTGATTGCAGGATGGCATCAGTGCTCCCCATTGAAAATATGGCACGAGTCCCCCCCCCCCTATTGATTTTCGAAGGCCAAAGTGTCCGGAGAAAATAACCTATACATTTCAGCCTCCCTGAAAAAAATTCTGGATCCGCCCTGCTGGGAATGTATTCACTTGGTAGCACCCTAAAGACACAAAAACGGACGCTGCGCCACGCATGCGCTATGCATAGGCCGCGACAGTGTTTTTCAGTGAGCGGAACCTTGGGCAGAGCATGTCAAAGGGGTCACCAAGTAGTCCGCGGGACGAGGCCTTTTTTTCGCTCGTCACGCGGTCTGGTTCGCCGAATTTTATAAAACTTCACAGACATGTAGATTATGGTGTAACATATCGAACAAATTTTGTTCCCCGATCCACAGTTTGTTTGGGAATGAGAAAATCTGGGATAAAAACGCCGAAAATTCTACATGAAAAAAAACAACATAAGAAACAGTGCCCCCTACATGTTGACACAGTCAGAAACCTTTTTTCACGCAATGGCCGTCCGACTCCGAGTTCGGGCGGTCTTTATATAGAGATCAGTGGGTCTGACGCGAGTATTTATTATTGTTTTCGCGCTCAAACGGCGGGAACACGACCCACGAACACTGCACTCGGAACAGGATCTCACACCATGCACCTATCCGTCGTTGTTTGCAAGAATGATATACCCGGTCCCGTGTCAAGAACAATTAAGACCGGCCCAAACTCGGCCAATGAGTTCTTCTAAGCTTCCTATATATAGTCTAGATGACACTTCTTTCATATTGTGTTCTAGATTTTTGTTATTTCTCATCGGAATGCAAAAATATCACCGTTACAGTTTTGTCCAACATGAAATGATCATAAATGTTATAAATTTAAGATCGAATGTTAATTAACATTGTTATGTATTTAGCTAAACATCGATTTGATGGTTAAACCACAGAACTCTTATCTCAGGGTAACATGTTTTCAAAAATGATATAAGTGCGTGGCATCTGGTGGAGCATCTGAACTTCTGAAACATCTTTAAAAAATGTTATGCCTGAAATAAAAAAAAAGTAATACAAATTTGATGCAGCCTCAAAAAAGGGAAGCGGATGGGCCGTTGGGTTATTTGTGGCTTCACGGAATGGACGGAGCAACAACAAAATAATGAATTAAAATTGTTCTTTAAACAATATTCATAATAACAACGGTAAAACGGTTTCGGCTGAAACAAATTGCAGTTGTAATGCACTGCCGCTGGAACAAACTTTTGCCGGGGGTGCTGGAATAAAGGACGGACAAAATTAATGCGAAAGCGGACCGATAAGCCCTTACGTTTAGGCTTAATTTGGACTATAGAAGCTCGGTGGTGCAATCTGAGGCGATTCCTGGCCGCTTTCGTTTGACTTTTTTTTGCAAAAGTGTTTTTGAGATAAAAAAGACAATTTATTTCATTATTTTGTTTGGAATATACTGTTGCTCTTAAAACGTTGAACTGTACTGAAAAGTGGAGAACCCTGTATTTTTATCTCCATTTTTGGTTGCAATTAATTCTGGAAAGAAAAATTGTCATTATGCATGACATCGCATGTAAATATTATTGTTGCAAGGCTGCTTTCTTACTTTTAGTAAATTCCGTCGTGTATGTTTTGTTATATTTTCTGAGCCCTAACGGCGTGGGGCCACAGGGCCAGGGGCCCGCTTTAAGGGCCCGGAAAATGTTGGATTCTGGATGCACTGCGATGAAATATACTGAAGTATACTGAAACTTATAAAACCCGAAAGGATGTTTTTTGGTTCAAGTTAAAACAAAATGGTTCCACTGGAAGCGGGTGAATGTGTTGGGGAAAGGATAGGTCGATACACAATTTGGTTGAGGACTGTATTTACCGTGACTGTTTATTCCACAACAATATTTTAATACACATTGATTGATTGAACTGGTTAGAGCGAACTGAGACAAAGATTAAATTGAATGAACTGAAATAGACTAGAATAGATCGATGATCGAAATGGAAATGGAATAGAAATGGAATTGAAACAGAATGAGGAACTGCTAGTGGAGTAGCACTTATATACTGGTGGAAACAGGAAGTCTTGGGAATAAGAAATGCTTAAGAATGGGAAAATGTAGTCATATCGTGGTTTCCTTGGGTCTCAGAAAAATGACTAGGAATGAGTAATATAGTTCCTTAAAGCTATAGTCCATCATTTGCAGCCATCCGAAAAGTAACTGGCGTAATTACTGTTGAAAAACAAACTTGGTTGAAAGACAGTAATGGAACTAAACTCCCTGTGAAATTATTCCTTCTGGGAAGCTGTCATTTTGAAGTAATCAACGAAAGAAGGCATTTCCAACGGTGATTCTTAAGAAGCACCGTAGGAAAATTTTAATTAGTAGTTCGTTTTGTTATTCAGCGCAGCGCGCACAAGTATTGGAACGACGCACACGCGCGCGCGGTTGTTATAATTCGTCGGATCAGTGCGCGACGCCGCGTATAGCTGCAATTCAAAACAATTCAAAACATGATTCAGTAACTTTTGATTTGAAATTGCGATCTTAGAATACTGATTTTCTCGGAATGTACAGCTGAAGCTTAGCTGAAACTTCATCAGGTTAGTTGCTTAGTATCCTTCATTAGATTTTGAACACTTTTGTTGCTTCAAACGAACAAAATGCACTAATTACAAATGATGGACTATAGCTTTAAAACAATGACCTTGAAAGTAACTTGGTTGTACTAAGAAACTGACCAATGACTTGTGTGTGGGTAGTGAAGGTTGCAGACCAGTAAATTGGTCCGAAATTGCCTACGCCGGCCAAATCACGATTTGCATGCC